ACCGAATGGAAAATCTCTACCTTGACAGGCTTGAATTTGTTTTTTTTCATTTACATAGTCGTCGACAACATCAAGATTTGGAATTTTTTTATCCCAATCATTCAAATATTCCATACATTTATCATCATCTGAAACAAGAAGCAAAACATCAGATAATGTCTTTCAAAACTATCACGAGGCTTGTTTTTGATTTACCTGTGCATGCAATAATCGTGACTGGAATTCGATTGATAGGCGTCCGTTCATTTTTAAGAACATGTTCAAGTGTACGAACATCTGGACGTTCATATTCATCTGTTGGCACACCATCAGTAGCCAGAAGTATGAGTAAGTTACGTTCATAAACATGATTTCGTTTGTCGTTGAGAACTTGTCGAAGAACAGGTACAATAGGCGTTGAACCTAACAAAATTATTTAAAACAACAGTCATTGATGAAAAATCTAATTTTTCACCTACCTTCTGGCTCCATAGCAAAGATATTCTCTAGTTGTGATGAATTTTTTACATGAAACATTGGTTCACGATTTAAAAAATAGACATCAACACCATCTGTATCAAAAATACTGGCTAGATCAACAACCGTTGATACGATTTGTTTCAATTCGTCCCCTGACAAGAACAAAAAAAATTAATGTTGATACATTACTTCATATATCATATTAAATCTTACAGCGTGTTTTTTTTGTGTGAGATGAATTTGAACCTTCATCTAAATCATCAAATAGTCAGTATATTGATAAGAAACAAGAAAATATTTAAAACATTATGATAACTCACCTAGTGGTGTATTCATTGAACCTGAATCATCACAAATAAAAACGATTTCATAACCTTTAAGTTGAATCAATCGTTCTGCAAAACTTGGACTAACTAAAAGAATCGACATTACATATAGTTTAATATAGTTTTGTATCAAATGCTTTTACTTTCATAACGTCTGATAAATCGATCTAAACCAGGTATACGTTCTTCATATGATTCTGAATATTGATTTGAGTGATATGCATATCGATTGTCATTAACGACAGACTCGTAAGATGGTGGTGGAGCCGATGGTAGTTGATTATCTGTTGAGTGCATTTCTATCAATAAGAAACAAATGAATAATATTTATTCATCGTATTTCTTTTATACGAATAAAACAAGTATTTGTATGGGAAGAACGAAAGAAATAAGCAAAATACATTACAAACACGTGTGATCAAACATACGAGAAAAAGAGAACAAAGATTTGCAAAATAACAGTCATTCGATAGTCACTTTTCATTTTATCATAAATGTTCTGTTCTTTGTGTCATATGCATCGGTGAGAGAACGAAAGAAAAAAATAACTATAGTGAATGACTCTTATTTTTTTCGTTCGTCATAGAACGAATAAAGAATAATGATGGTTTGTTACGTATTTTCACGATTATTCTCAATGAAGAGATTTCAAATAGATTCTTCTAGTTCTTTTTCTGATTTACTATCGAATATATAGTGTTGGTGTTTTCAAGGTGATTTTTATTCAAATTTTTTACATCTGACTAAACGTAAACGCTAATGAATTATTGACTATAGGGTATGTGAATATGAACATTGAGATTACTCTAATGATATTATTCATCTTCAGTTGTTTATAATGGGTGTGGGTGAGCATCGATCTGTTTTTCACCTACACCCTAAACGGACTTAATTCTTTTGATCAATTTATGTATACATTTTTCTCACAACGAATTAGATGTATTTCTATTAATTTCTGGAGGGTGTGAGTGTGAGATGAAAATAATACCAACACTCACACCCTCGAGATGGTTGCATGAAACGTCTCTTAAGTGTAAACAAAATCGTTTACACATCGAAAAAATAAGTAGGCCGATCAGTGTACTAACGTTCTCAAATGAGTATTAGAATAAGAATCAAAGTTAAAATTTATTTAAATCAGAAAAAAAACAAATCTTGCAAATAAAATAGGAGCTAGCTAAAGAACATGTTCACGAAAAATATTTATTTTTTGTTAGATTTGTATGCATTATTATCACCGTAAAAAGAAGAGTTGCTTTCACAAACTAGAAGTATCAATTTGATGATCATAGAAGAAACGTATGTGTTTTTCTTCGATTAACAATCGACTAGATTTAATTTGAACGCGGCTCACTTGATCAGTCGTCATTAATAAATTCGAGAAAGCAGAGAATGTTCCTGGTCGAACAAGAATACAAGAAAGATGCCCCAGTTTTTCCATACTTCGAGGACTTTGATAAAGATGATTATTGATAAGAAGCTGTCGTTCGACTTCCGAACTAATATTATGTCGCCACATAGAAAGTTGTTGATTTTCAATATCAATGGCGTTGTTTTCTTCGTCGACCAGTTCCAAAAAGATAACGTAATAGACTGGAAAGGCATCAAGCTTTGCATATGAGGTAAAGTTACATATACCAACATGTATTCCTTGTTTTTTCCACTCATTAACTGCTTGTTAAAGAGCATTCATCACATGTTGTTCACTTGTTTTCTCTCCATATACATCTAAAAGACTTCCAACACGATATGCGATTGAAATGAGAGGAATTCGAGGAATTTCTTCTGGTTCAGACGGTAACGGAACTAAATCATCTGCGCGAGAAAGAAATCCTGTGCAACTAATCATATCCCCCATTCGATATCGAATAAGTCCGCCCTCAGTTGTACAAACCACTTCATATCGATTTCCTGGTTCAATTTCTGAGATAAGAAGAGTCTTTGGTTGAGACTGAAAAAGACAAAATATCAAACAAATATAATCAAGACTTATTGTTTGTACAACACTTTACGTGATGAACATCTTCTTCCTTAATAAATTCAAAAAATACAGATGTTGGTATAAGAAAGTATTCATCTGTATGAATACTTGCAAGAATTCCAAAGTATCCCTCACTTGCACGATAGCCAAGGAAATTGATTAAAGGTAACTTTTCTCCACAATAAAATTGGAGTTCTTGTTTGTGTATGACAAAAGTACCGCCTATTACAGTAGATGCATAACTCAACGTTGGCCAAAGACGATGAAGAATACCGGGAACATTTGTTTTTAGACATTCTTTTCGAATATAATTTGCTCGTTCTAATTGGTATGTCGATCCTCCATATTTCTGAATGATTTCATTTAGTGCTCGATCTAAATCGATTTTAAGTTTAGCATCATCGATATTGTTTTGAACAAAAGAACTATTTTGAAAGTTGGCAGAAGAAATGCAAAGACTGATTTCTTCACAAAAAGTCTGAATGAGTTTGACAGTATGAATAAATCCTGGAGTAAACATCACCGTATAAGAATTGATATCAGGTATTGCTAATGCAAAAACAAGTTGAACAAATAGATTTGTGTCAAAATGACAAGGGGGAAAATGCAAACTTTTGCACTTCAAGTGAATTTGAGCCAC